AAGTTATATACTCTCGCAGAAAGTTTGAAAGGTTAATGTTCTGCATCATTCGCAATAACTACACAAATCAGCCCAAACCCGAAACCCTAAACCTTAAACCCTAAGCTCCTAAGCCCCTAAACCCCTAAACCCTAAACCCCTAAGCCCCTAAACCCTAAGCCCCTAAACCCTAAACCGGCGGCCCCAGGAAGCCAGCTTTCTCCTCCAGGCCTCCCAATTCCTAAACCCTAAACCCTAAACCTCAATTCCTAAACCCCGAGAAGCCCTAAAGTTTCGAGGCTCTTCAACCAGAAGCCCCAAACCGATAAACATCATACGCGGTTTAGGGTTGCTGTGTAGGGTTCAGGGTTTAGGGTTCAGGGTTTAGGGTGCAGGGTTTGCTCTGGGGTTTAGGGTTGCGGTGTAGGGTTTAGGATTCTTTCTAGAACCGTCATTGGAATCTTTCAAGGAACCCCCTATCCGAGAAGCAAGCCGAGCAGCAAAATCAGGTTCTACGAGGAAGCCGGCAGCATGACCGTGGCAGCGGAGGTGGCAACATTTTGCTTGAGCAGGTTGTGATATCTAGGTTAAAGGGCTGGGGTACTCAGTGTTTAGGGTCCGGGTCGAGGGTAACGTAGACATGTAAAAATCTACGGGGAAACGTACAGCTGCGGGTGTTGGTATGCTATCCACTGAAAGGGCTTATAAGGCGTAGAAGTTCAGAATTTGTGTTTTGCATCTGCATGATGAGTTTCCTACCTCGATAGTGTGCAACCCAGCCCCAACAAACGGAATATACCGTCTCCGCAAAGCTCAAAACCACATCATGCAACTCGTAGCACACGTCAAGAGAAGACTCAGCTTCCCTAACTGCTCCAAAAAGAACACCGCACAACTAGCCGCTTGCCTTTTGGCTTCAAGTTTTTGGCCTACAGCTGTGTGATGTATCGTGTATACTCTGTGAGTTTACGAAATCCCAAGAGCAAGTCGTTATTTGTAGTCTAGCTGAGTGGCACTTCCCAGATCCTACCACCTAGCATGGAAGCTAACATAATTACCAGTGCTATTCCATGGGTTCCTTACTAATTACAGTAATATCCTATTCCAATTTGTAAGGCTCCCATGCCTTTGTAGTAACCGCTCTTCAAACTATTAAAAAGCCCCTATATACTAAACCCTTCTAATAGGTTGACACGCACATCGGAGTATGGCTGCATCAAGTGCCGAAGCTGTCGAACCTTGTCCTCGTGGAGGCACCGACAGACACTGGGCTAAATCGTGGTCGGGACCCATGGTCTCGAGAATGTGAACGAGAAGGTTCCTAGTTCCTAGGGTGTAGGGTTTAGGGTTTAGTGGCAAGTACATCGCCAACAACAGTGCCAACGCTCGCTGGCAGCACGAGAACTGGGGCACTTGTAAAAGTCGCCAAGCTCGTTACCAGGCGGGCCAAAAGTGGCTTGGCAGGGGTGGGACTTCTGAGACCTCTACAATTTCATTTGTTTCAGTAAATAGTAGCTTTAAGGACGAAGTGGACCCCAAAAGGGTTTAAGGTTCATATACCAGTTAGGGATTTATAGTATAAGGGTATAGGTCCCCTAGTTATACTGGGGTCCTCAAGGAAGGGGATAATAATAGTCTGGCTTTTCTGTGTATGCAACTTCAAGCGCCGCAGATGCCGAAGCATCGAAAACGACTTGTACCGACATGACCAGGCCATGGATGATCTGTTCTCAAAACGGATTAGGCCATGGACGTCATCATGGTTGAGCCATGGATGCTCTTTTCTCAGAACGCATTAAGCTCTGTTTTCAGCACGGCACCAGCAGCGCCATCATCAGGAAACCAGCAACATGAAGACCAGCCTCACCAGCAAAATCCCAGCAAATAGACATAAACACATACGCAGGATCGGAACATGCTGAAGCTAAACAGCAGGAAATTAAGGCGCATCGACCTTCTAGTACTTCGTAGGCGCCCGTTCAAGGAACCCTATGTAAGGAACCCCATTCCAACTCACAGACCCTAAACCCTAAACCCTATACCCTGAACCGTATTCTAACTCATAGTGCCCCAGCCTCTATTGAGCCACAGGCTGGGCTAACCTTCGAAGCTGGTGTCTATGCGGCCGCGCGCTTACGCAGGTTAGGTTTTTTGAGATTTTCGGGTTTAGGGTTTAGGGGTTGTAGTTTAGGATTCAGGGTTTAGACTAGATTTCAGGGAGTTCGGGTTTAGGACTGGGGTCTATAGGGGGCAGAGATTAATTAGATTATAGGTTGGCTTGCACCCTTACACAGCCTAACCCTCTGCAGGGCTGAGGAGATGCACGGTCTGCCTGGCGTCCTGAGTCCTGAAGCCCCATTGCCCATATAAGCCAACCCGAAACCCACGTAGACTCGACCCAAACTCTAAAAAAATCATAACAACCTGTTGAGGACTATATCTTTGAGCCCCCATGAAAAACTTCCGTCCTAGAGCCGACCTCGTGGACGTTTTAGCATCAAACAAGCGAAACAGCATTCACCTTGGCTTGCAAAGGGCTCCCACGAGTGTTACTTTTAGGGTCACTGTCTCTTCTGTTTCGGTGCATGGACGGTCCCGTATGGTGCCTTTCTGGTACTCGTACCCTTCTAGAACTAGAACCCATATAGAACCCTGGTAGTACCCGTATAGTCACCCGTTATAGTACTCTTCTAACCTCAATGGGTCCCTCATAGTACAAGTGTAGGCTGTGTGTGGGTACTTGGAGGATCATGGGACTGAGTAAGTAAGCTCATAAGCACCTCAATGGGGATATCAGTAGTTATAAAGATTGGTAATTCTTGTTATCGCACTTACAACCGTTTTACTGACCCTTAACCCTAAATAAAACCCTAAACCAAGTCCAATGTCCCTTTAAGTAGGGTTGGTGTGTTGACCGAGGTATTGAACCTTACGAGCGGATCTGGCCGGGGCCTCTGGCAAGAAAGTTGCTTCCAGAATACTTAGTAACTCTATGCCCTTTTCAGTGTCGGGATGTTTCGGTCTTTAAATCCCTAAGGGTCCATGTACCCAAACACTATATACTTAGGCCGTAAAGTACTCCCTATATAGGTACTTTGGGGCCAAAGTATATACTATAATACTATTTGGGTACATGAACCCTTCGGGAAATATAGCCTTCAGGGCTTAGGGTTTATAGGGTTCCGGGTGCCGGGTTAGGGATGCAGGTGCGGGATTCTCAAGCCTTGCAGTAAATCCCATACAGTTAGGATTATAAGGCTGCGCTAAAGCCTCATGTACCCTAAACCCTAAACCCTAAACCCCAAACCCCGTGCCCTACGTGGTCGGCGTTGATGGAGCAACCTCTGAACCTCGAGCCGTATACCCTCGACCCATCTGTTGCCCAAACAGTCCTAGGGTTTAAGGTTTAGGGTAAAGAAGAAGCCATACAATAAAATGAAAGCCTGCAGATCGTAGGCTCCTGGGGCTACATGTCAACCCGAAAAGACCTAAATCAAGGACATTTTCAGGTGGGTAGTTACCCTTACAGGAGCCTTATAGAAGGTCTATATACCTTATAGGAGCCTTATAGAAGCTCTATACCCTAAACTCCCCACCTTCAAAAAAGACTTAAACGACAGACTGAAACCCCAAACACTCCGGGAAGACTCAGGCCTGAGTGCTGCCGACAGGCGCGAGGAGTTCTGTTGTTTTGGCAGGTAAAGACAGGAGGTGCCTTCTTATCTAGAATACGGTTTCGAGATGATTATTTGTGGCATCGATATACTGAGGAGCTGTCAGGAGCAATCTTGGTTTTCGTCAGGAATTGATATGCGAGAGCCCCCAAGCCCTAAACCTTAAACCCAAAGAAAGAAGCTTGGCTACCACGGGGAAGATGAAGAAGTGGCAGAAGAAGATCTACGAGCAGAAAGCAGCTACCGCGCACAGCAGCACGCAGCAACTGCGTTCTTGCCTGATGCAGCCACATGTGCCTCCTGAAGCAGATCCTGTTGAGCAGGTCGCAAGCCCTGAGCACCACGAGCCCGTTGAGCTTTGGTGGGAGCGCAATGCCTTCATGTCGCAGAAGGTGTTGGGGGCAGGCACCTACGGCCAAGTGCTTCACATCAAGGACGGTTCTGGTCAAGAGTATGCGGCGAAGCTCTACCACAAGGACCTGATGGATGCCCAGGTGGAACTCGATCACTACAAGAAGCTGGGGACCCGCCCCAACATCTTGGGGTGTTACGGCGTGATCAGCAGCAGAGAACAGATCGTATGGCTTTTGGAGCTTGCTGACACCAGCCTCTTCGACTATCTCCGGAAGTATCCCTTCTGGTTTCTAGTCAGGAATCGATATGGGCAGTTTTCTCAATTAGGGCCCCCTTTTAGGTCCCTCACGGCACCCTGACCCTAAAAGGGACCTCAATTTAGAGAACTACCCATATGACATGGGTTCAGTTTAGCATTTCGGGTTGGTATAAGGCTTTGGGTGCATTGGCCCGAGGGCTTTAAGGGGTTTAGGCTCTTTGTTTTTTTTTTTTTTTTTTTT